ATAAAACAGAATTCAGAAATGAGCTACATGAGTGACATGAGCTCTGGGAAAATAATACAGCATGCAGTTCCCAAGGCTCAATCTGGTTTTTTAATCCAAGAGATATTACGGACTTGAGCATGACATGACAGTATTGCCATGTTGTTCCTCTCAAAATCTATGTAAGCAAGGCAACCATAACCTCTGAACCTGTGCAACCTTTCATTTTAGGAAAAAAAAAAGAAATATCTAGCTAAATTCATCCCATGCTGAGCTTCATTTATCTACTCACAAAGCTTCGTCTAACTACTCATAAACTTCAGAAAGTGCTTATAAAAAGGGTGAGTCAGAAGAAAGTACCTCTTCAGCTAAATTAACATTCTCAAATGAATTCCCATGCCTGTAGCAGAACATTTACCTCAGGTCCCCTGCACCTCACCATCACCCTTTTCTCTCTCATTTACACCTTACTGTTCAAGACAATTTTTCTTCTAACTGCAGGCAGACAAAGGATTTCCTTTACTGCCATTCCCGTACACCTGCTTGTCAAGAAAGTATGAATTGCCTGTACGATGCTAGTGCTGACACTTGTTGTTCAGGTTCTGACAAGGTCACTCTCCCATGTGAGAGTGATATGGGGCCACCACTGATATGATTCATTATGTACTGTAATGACACATGGTACAAACCACAGCAATAACGCAAGGATGCACTCAGAGCTGCACAGCCTCATGGTACAGAACAAGCTTCTGAAATCAGAGTTGCTTCCCAAGCTGGCTGCCAAAACGTGCCTCTAGCAAGCTCTGCTCCCTGCCACCTCTCCTAAGAACAAGCCACAAGCATATGAAACCTGCGTAGGTAAGATAATGTTTTGTTTGTTTAACTTGTAATTAGATAGGAAAAACGTTTTAAAACCCTCCCCACCAAAACCTTCCTCTTCAGAGTGATTTACAGCAGATTCATGCAGAGCAGAATATGGTCGAAGGGGTGTGCATCTATCCCAGGGCAGGGGAAGGTGCTCAAGATGGATGGGCAAGCTCCAAGGGAGGACGAGGTATGGCACAAACCTCTATCAATGGAGGAATGATTGTGCTGAAAGGTAGCTGAGAGCAAACAACTCCAAACTTTTCACACAACATTTCCTTTTCACAATTAAAGACTAGAGTGACTTTGAGGACAGATACTGAAAAATAAACTCCCTTTGGTTTTAAATAGGTTGAATTACATCAATTCATACAAAATGAGAAGCGGTAGTTTGCTTCTCTTGGGGGAACATGCCTTTTCCAGGGGAAAATGCAGCAGAAACACATTTACTGGTGCCAAAGAGCGGTGCCAAATTAGGAGCTGAAAACATTGCTGCTGTCAGAAATGGCTATATTTTTGAATCATCATAGCATCATAGAAGGGTTTGGGTTGGAAGGGACCTTAAAGACCGTTTAGTTCCAGCCCCCCTGCCATGGGCAGGGACACTTTCTACTAGACCAGGTTGCTCAAAGCCCCATCCAGCCTGGCCTTGAACACTGCCAGGGATGGGGCAGCCACAGCTTCTCTGGGCAACCTGTGCCAGTGTCTCACCACCCTCACAGTGAAGAATTTCTTCCTAATGTCTAATCTGAATCTCCCCTCTTCCAGTTTAAAGCCATTCCCCCTTGTCCTGTCACTACACACCCATGTAAAAAGTCCCCCTCCACATTTCTTGTAGCCCCTTTAGGTACTGGAAGCTGATCTAAGGTCCCTCTGGAGCTTTCTCTTCTCCAGGACAAACTCTCTCAGCCTTTCTTCACAGCTGAGGTGCTCCAGCCCTCTGAGCATATTTGTGTCCCTTCTCTGGACTTGCTCTAACACGTCCATGTCCTTCTCATGTTGGGGACACAGTACTCCAAGCGGAGTGAGGGCAGACTAGACAGGGAGAATCACCTTCCTCAACCTGCTGGTCACACTTCTTTTGATTCAGCCCAGGATATGGTTTTCTTTCTGGGCTGCAAGCACACATTGATGGGTCTTGCTGATGATCTCATCAACCAACACTCACAAGTCCTCCTCAGGGCTGCTCTCAATCCATTCTCTGCCCAGCCTGTAGCTGTGCTTGGGATTGCCCCAATTTACATGCAGGACCTTGCACTTCGCCTTGTTGAACTTCATGAGTTTCATATTGGCCCACTTCGCAAGCCTGTCAAGGTCCCTCTGGATGGCATCCCTTCCCTCCAGCATATCAACCAAACCACACAGCTTGGTGTCATCAGCAAACTTGCTGAGGGCACACTCAATCCCACTCTCCTGTCATCAACAAAGATGTTAAACAGCACTGGTCCCAGTACCAACCTCTGAGGAATGTCACTCATCACTGGTCTCCACTTGGACATCAAACATGACCACAACTGTTTCAGTGCTACCATCCATCCAATTCTTTATCTATTGAGTGGTCTAACTGTCAAATCCAGTTTAGAGACAAGGATGTTTTGTGGTACAGTGTCAGATCCTTTGCACAAGTCCAGGTAGACTATGCCAGCCACTCTCCCCTTATCCGCCAATGCTGTCACCCTGTCAAATAATGCCACTGAATTTTCGAGGCACAATTTGGCCTTAGTGATGCCATGTTGGCTGTAACCAATCACCTCTTTATTTTCCATGTGACTTGACATAGTTTCCAGGAGTATCTGCTCCATGATCTTGCCTGGCACCAAGGTAAGACTGACCAGCCTGTAGTTCCCTGGGTCTCCCTTTTTTCCCTTTTTAAAAACTGAGGTTATATTTCCCCTTTTCTGGTCAGTGGGAACTTCACTGGACTGCCACAACTTCTCAAGTATGATGGGTAATGGCTTGGCCACTTCATCTGCCAGTTCCCTCAGGAGCTATGGATGCACTTCATCAGGTTTCATGGACTTGTGCACCTTCAGGTTCCTTAGATTTCTTGAACCTGATTTTTTCCTACAGTGGGTGGTTCTTCATTCTCCCGCTCCCTGCCTTCACCTTCTGCGACTTGGGTGGTGTGGCTGGAAAACTTGACAGTGAAGACTGAGGCAAATATGTTGTACCTCAAGACTACTTCAGCCTCTTTCATATCCCAGGTAACCAGGTCTCCAGTTTCCTTCTGGAGAGAGCCCACATTTTCCCTAGTCTTCCTTTTATCACCAACATGCCTAGTGAACCTTTTCTTGTTGCCCTTGATGTCCCTGGCCAGATTTAATTCTATTAGGGCTTCAGCTTTCCTAACCTGATCCTTGGCTGCTCAATTTCTCCATACTCCTCACAGGCTTCCTGTCCTTGCTTCCAGCGTCTGCAGGCTTCACTTTTGTGTTTTGAGTTTGTCCATGAGCTCCTTATTCATCCATTCATTCAGTCAGTGCTTTTGCCTGACTTCCTCTTTCTTGGGATGCATCGCTCCTGAGCTTAGAGGAGCCTTTCTTCCCTCTGTGGCTTTATCCCATGGTACTCTACTCCCTGAAGAGGCTGGAGTGTGCTCCCCTGAAGTCCAGGGTAGCAAGCTTACTCTGCACCCTCCTCTCTGTCTTAAGGATCCTGAACTCCACCATTTCATGGTCACTGCAGCCAAGGCTGCCCTTGAGCTTCACATTCCCCACCAGCCCCTCCTTGTTGGTGAAAACAAGGTCCAGCATAGCACCTCTCTTCATTGGCTCCTCTACCACTTGGATATCACTATCAACATATTCCAGGAACCTCCTGGGTTGCTTATGCCCTGCTGTGTTGTCCCTCCAACAGGTAGCAGGGTGGTTGAAGTCCCCCATCAGGACCAGGGCTTGTGAACGTGAGGCTGCACCTATCTGTCTGTCGAGGGCCTCATCCACTCTGTCTTCCTGGTCAGGTGGCCTTTGGCAGATCCCCACTCTGTCCCTGCCCTCCCTTTAATCCTGACCCATAAGCTCTTGGTTGGCTCCTCTTCCATCCCCAGGAACAGCTCCACGCACGCTAGAGCATTTGATTGCATAGATGAGTTAAAAAGAACACAGAACTCAATATGCAGTTACTACATGAGTCTTTCTGAAACTCTAGCCTAGTGAAGGAAGCAAAATAGAGGTGAAATTTCTCAAGCTATATCCAGACCACTTAAACTATAAATGTGGCACCCACAGGCAGAACTTAGGTACCCAAGTATCCACTGTGACTGAGATTGACTATTCTTGGGTGCTATCTTTTAAGAATCCTGAAAATCAGTAATTCTTTCACTTAGGGCAGCAGTCATTTCCAAGACTTTCAATGTAAGCATTAAGTACAAATACTTTGGTGCATAAAGCTGGAACCCAACTTCACACCAAAATGCCTCCCCATAATTCAACAATATGCAATGAGACAAACTCCATCCACGCTTTGGAGAGGTCCAGTCTAGAAGACATGTTCACACCCAACTCACCTGGGATGAACTGAATTCAACATAGGGGTCACTAGTTAAGGTAGATGTTTTCTAAAACTCTGAGGGAAAAGGCAGCGTAGGAGGGCAAGTACCTATTTAAGTGACTAGAAAGCACTGAAACTGGCATAAGTGATACTTGGTGGCACTTATAGCTCTGATTCCCTTGAGTGCAGGTTGAGAGATAAGAAACAAAGAGGAAAGTGGCATTTCAAAATAGGGAAGTAGGATATAACAAAGCAGCAGTGTGAACCCTGCAGTGAGAGTCTTTCAGAAAACATACTGAAACCTATTTCCTATTAAATGGTTTAATAACTATTATTGTTATATCGTAATATAGCTGGAGTGAAATTAAGGATTAGATATGGGCATTTTGTAAAATTCCTCACCTTTTCGATTTAAGCTGCACTATTCAACTCCACAGCACAGAATTTTCTGAATGGCAATGTCACGATTTGCTACAACATCACAGGCAAAGCTTATAAATAATGTAGGAAAATATTCATTTGGATGGGGAATACCACTTAGCCCCTGTTCACAAGGCATAAATGAGCTTTCCAGAGTACATAGGACTTGACTTGCTTCTCTCTGAGTAAATAATCATCTCCCATTGCACACATATACACACATCCCCTTTCAAATTAGTGTATCTTACCTTATCCTTATTTTCAGAGCCAGAATCCTCAAGTTTGGTCCGAATGACAAAGGGAGTAGATAATCTCAGGAGAACTCGTTCAAATGTGGCACTGATTTTAGGAGAAACTATGTCAAAGCAGTCTTGGAATTTCAGAGTTTTATGAGTGTCGCATCTGAGCTGCTTCCTAAGACCTTCTCCAAGCTGGAGAACTAGCATGTTTGGATCAAACATCAGGTGAAAGGGGAAAGCTCTGCAGAAGGTGCTGATGCTAATCCTCAGGTCTAAGGGGGACTGGGAATTTCCTGGTGGAAGTGCTTTTGTGATGTTTGCATTTTCATGTTCCTTGATAAGGAAAGTCAGACAACCACAGTTACCTGTGTTTGTCCCCTCTGAACACAACTTATCGTTAGTGACCTGTTCTACTTCCACTTCCGAATGGTAAATCTTCTTTGCTGCTGCCTTTATCATTCCCATCATTGCAAATCCCACAATCTGATGTGGGTGAAAGTAATGAAGCATGAGATTGCCTTCAGGGAGCTCTTTGCATAGGAAAGAAGGGGATTCCAGGGTGGCCTGTCTTCCAAATGAAGTTCTAATGTGCTCCAGCAAAGCATCAAAGCCATTGAAGAAATCTTGAAGGGTCCCACCTACAGCTCGAAGAACTCTTTCATTCTCATCAAAGCAGATATTGAAGAATTCCTCCCCAAACTTTTCTTGCATTTCCTCAAACTTCAAACCTACAGGACAATGAGACACCGACATTAACAACATAGTATTGCTACTGTGACACATTTTCATAGAATCATAGATTTGTAGAATGGTTTGGGTTAGAAGGAACCTTAATAATCATCTATATCCACCCCCACTGCCATGGGCAGGGACACCTTCCACTAGACCAGCTTGCTCAGATCCCTGTCCAACCTGGCCTTGAACACTTCCAGGAATGGGGTGTTTTTCCTTTGTTCTCTGCCTGCCCAGTAATTTTCCAAGTCAGTGAAAGTCACTTTTTACTGGATACCTACCCACAGGACTTCTGTTTTCTCTGATGGTTGGGATTAACCCCAGGAAGCCATTTCTACCTGTTATTTGAAGTCCTCATGCTTTCAGTTTGCTGTCCTAGGTGACTACTTGTGGGATTTACACTAGCCTGTCTCCCTTTCCCTGCTGGAAGCCACTATACTATGCTATAATTTCCCTGACTTTTGCATGTCACATGCAGTCCACTGTGTGAATTCACCTGGCCAGGGTGCATCCCTTTCATTGCTGACCTAGCCACAAACAAGACTTTACTTTTATAGCCCCTCTGTTCACTGACTCCGTGAAGGATCCAGCTCTCCCCACTGAAGAACAAGCTACTGGGACTGAAAGTCCTGCCTTTGGCTTTTGATAAGCAGTGTAAAGCCCTGCAGTCAGATGACAATTTCATAGCTGGAGGAGGGAGGGTTGTGTGTGGTTTTGAGTTTTGGGGTTTTTTTTCAAACAAAATACTTTTCTCATTGTAGATATTGGGTACTGCCAGAAGATACAAAAGAATAATCACTTTTTTGTTGCCTGCAAAGGAGAGCAAAGCCTTTCCATTTTAGGTTTCTACACTCACTCATCTTTAAAAAAAACCCTGCCTCTTAGAGTGATCTACATTGCTAGTAGATGGGACAGCTCTGTGATATCTCATAATGTCACTTCAAGTGTCCATCACAGAAATTCAAAAGGTTTGATTTACAGAGGTGACAACGCTGGTGTTGCTGATGGGATGAAAAAATATCAGTGATGGAAGCCTTGGATACAAATGTGCACCAAATCCTACTCCAGTTTGTTATTTACCATTTTAATGATAACCTTAAAAAATAATAACTCAGAAAATATAATAACTTAGAAAAAATAATTTTGAGATGGTTGTTAAACATTTTCTTCTATCTTATTTTAGGGAAGACATGCTGTGTTAATTTTCATCTATATACAATCCCTATATCACATAGTAGAATTACAGAATTAATCAGATATGTGTGTATTATTTTCAGGTGTAATAGAAGAAAAAAAATGTATGAATCAGCTGTATGTGAATTTGTTAATTACAAATATCCAGCAAGATTTTTCAAATTAAATTAATACAGGAATTTACAACACAGTTCTTTCAGTGTATTGAAATCAAATCAAATCACATTTCAGTCAAATAGTCAAACACCTTAAAATTTGTCTTTAATTCTAACAGACATGAAGGCAATTTAATTTCCTAAGTGCACAACAGGTCTTTTATTTTAATATTCATTCAGCATGCTTTAGAACATTGATAACATCCCAGCGTATCACTGAACTTTTATTGTTTGTTTAGATTGCTTGTAAGCTCTCAAATTTAGAAGAACAGTGTGATTAGTGACTTTCATGCCCAAGAGGTATAACAAGGGACAGAAGTCATGCAACTGATGTCTGCAGACAATAACCTTTGATCATCTCAAGGCAGTGCCTGATCTGCCAGTGCACACAGGCATGGTTATAACGATCGATATTCAGAAGGAATCTGAGCGTTCCACAGCTTTGCAAACTATCTGCAATGATAGTTTTGTTTGGACCTTGAGTATGATTAATAGATTAAAATGCATAAAATTACATCTATAAACAGCAAAACATGACAACATGACAAAGCATATTTTATAAAAGAAGTAATAGTGATAATTTGGGAAAGTTCATTCAAATGCCATTACTCATAATCAAATTTGGTCACTAAACTAGGTTATTACAAAAATATTCCCAGGATCTTTTATGACCACAGATGGTCAGATCTGCGGCTAAGCCAAAAGAAAGTACCGCTGGTACACAATGCCCTCTAATACCCTGACTCAGAGGACAGCGTGCCAATTCCTGACTCATTACCTCTACATCTACATAACACAGTATTGTAATATCTTCCACAAAAAATACTTGCTCCAGCCCAGAAAGAATTAAATTCTAACCCATACCAATAACATTGTCATAGTTGGATATTAATAGCAAGGAGCTAAGAAATTATCATATTTGTATGTGTACACAAACACATATGCATACTTTTAAATCTCATTGTTCCATAGAGGGAACTATGAGTAACTTTAGAAGTCTGTGTGTAAAAGTAAGCAGCCTAGCAGGGGCATCCAAGGGTGTAAGATTGCGGAGGCCCTGAAAATAAGGGAACTGGACTGTGTCAGAAACCCCTGGGCTGTTCATAGAAATGACTAAATACTGTTACAGAACTATGTAACATCCCACAAAGCTGCCCAAAATGATAGCATAGACAAACTGTCTTTAAAGTGTATTATAAAATTACAGTAAAGCAGCCAGTTACCCTGGAGCCACTAACTGAAAATAGGGTATGCAGAACTTTTCACTTCTGTACTTTACTGCTACATATGTAAGCCTTGTCTAACTATCGTTAGCAAGAGCTGTATCTCAGTATTCAGACTAAGGTTTTGTGATTATCTTAGATAGGTCTTGACATCCACCTTGGAGGACTGGCTGTTTGATCTGCTCATGCAACACACTGACTCCAAGCCACATGAATTATAGTACAAAATTCAGGTCAATGACCTGGCTCGAGGACATCCCACTACTTTTAAAAATATTTTAGCTTTACATTGAGTTGCACACAGTACCAACAGAAAATCAGATTAGCTCAGACTATAAAAATGGATATGCTTAAACAAACTGCTGGTCTATCTTAGCTGGGAATTTTTTCTCTAATAATAGACACCATGAGATAATGACAAAATTAAGCAAAGTGAAACAACTTTCTAAACCAAACAAGTATAACATGCCTATCAGGGAAGTTTCTTTCTAAGCCTCATCAATAAGATGACAGTTTTTGCTTGCAGCATGATGGGTTTTCTTTAAATCAAAAATCTTTATCACAAAAACTTTTTTTCTGTATTTCTACAAAGCTTTTGTTTTCAGTGTCATGCTTGTGTGGAGTTGCACAAAATATTTCATCTGTATTTTTACTGACTTACTCCTGCCTCTCTCATTTCAAGAAATGATGAACAGAAGTACACACTTATCAAACACTAACTCTACATATTTCATCATAACTTTATCATTTACTACCATATAAATGATCGCAATCTTTTTAATATCTTCTGTGGAGTTTCTCCATGCTGCTTTCTCTATGCTTTTATCTGTTTCGCTTTCAAGAGACAACAAGAAATGACCATCATTATCACAAGGAGAGAAAATGTCAGACTGCATTACATTGTTATTCAGATGCTCTGAAATCTCAGCAGTGACTGGTATCAGATGCTTTAGAAAACTGTAAAATCTGATGGAAAATCATGAAAACAAATGAGTTTGAGAAAGCTTCTCCCTATCTGCTACAGGAAATGTTTGGCTTATTCACCGAAATGGATGGAAGTGCCAGATCAGGAGACAGTTTTACTACATATAGAAAAACCTGCTTGTTACAAAAATTGCCAGAACTCATTGTCTCTCCAGTGTATACTTTGCTACATCTGGAGACCTCCTTGGGCTATTTACTATCATTAAAAATTGCATTCAGTATGATTTCAAATTCCAATGTATTCAGTATTTCCTTTGGGCTTTTTCTTTTGAGAAAAGACCAGTATCATCTTCAAAATAATCTTCTTATAGCCTTCAGGTTATACATCTACATAAACAGTCTAATCTTTTCAATTTGTCTTACAGTCTCACATTAAATTCTTTCTTGGCATCTTTTTTTTTTTTTTTTTTGTTACTTTGATTTTGCAGTGGAATAATTCCAATTGAAGATGGCACTGAAAATCTGAGTCAGCTTCTAGTCATCAAATCAACGATTTGCTATTCCTTTCTGAAAAGCTGGCACTTTTTTTTTAACCCACTCTGGACATGTAATCAAAATTTTCATTCAGCTGCCCATAAAAAAAATAGTATTTGAGATCTGTATGTGTGCCCAGCACTTCCAAATGCAGAGGCCACTGCGCTCCTATACAGCCTCACGGGTGACCTCAACAACCATAGACAGGCTTCCTAATGGGCACTAACTTGCAATCAGTAAGTAGGAAAAGGTCCTCCTTAGTTTCACCAAGAAACGTCATTAAATGCTAGAGACAGATACAAAATAAACCAAAATTCATCCCAACACTCTACTGTTGCCCAAGTGAAGTCATTTGTTATTTTGAGCTTCTGCTATTTACTGACCTTCTACCAATATACTGAATGAAATTCTAAAAATTCATCAGTCTCAATCTGTTTTCTTCTTGGAAAGTGATCTACTGTGCTCCTACCACTGAATCAACTTCTTTGAGATGTCAAATCACATGTCTTAACTCTAATAAGTCTAGGATTTTTCCATAGTAGTTTATTTGTGTTGCTTTTTCCTACAATGCTGTTTTTATTCTAGCCCATACTGGACAGAAATTGAATATGCGCATTGTAGAAGGACGTTGAGGCAAAGCAACCATAGAATGAAAATATTGCTATGGGCTTCCACTAGAAAGTACTTTAGAATCTATGACAAAAGTACTATGTAAGGTCTGTTATTATTCTCTGAAAATGTGTCCCAATGACATTTAAAGAAGAGATCCTATACTTGTGAGCCAGATCCAAAATTACCAAAGCATAGGATCAAAATAAGTATTTCACTGAACTGGAGCAGAAATAGATGACTTCATTCTGTAATAACATGCTAGTAAAAGGTCTTTCTTCATCTTTTCAGCAGTTCCTGTAAACTGTGAATCCCTTACAAAATGTCAAGAAACTAATACAGTATTTCTAAGTATTC